TTCAGCAGTGGGACCTCTACAAGGGTAAGTTTGTGCGAGGCTGCAGCAATGAGAAAGCAGATTTAGAAACTTACTTATGTTCTCCATTTCTGGAGAAAAAAATTTTACAGATCACTTAAACTACAAATGCTTCCCCCCAGCCCTGGACCCCTTCTGCCTCGAGCTTTTCTGTGCCAGTCACCTGCATGAATGGCATCGGTTGTTGCTTCAGTTCATGGCTTGATCTTTTGGTGGTACAATTTCAGGGAAATTCTCAATATTCTCCATTCCAGTCATTTTTAACTTGATAGCTTATCTTGAAGGAGCCGTATACTGTGCGTTTTAAAATTCATCATCTCCTGAAATCAGTGATGATTAGAATAGTGTCTCTGCAGGATGTGGCAGCTCAAATGTGCCTGTGTGTACAGCTCTGGTCAAGGTGAGGTGTACTGAGACAGTACTGATAACACAGCAAGGCTAGTGTGGCTTTTTTGAGGAGACGCATTCCAGACAGTTTACAAGCCTGAGTGCATTTGCATCCTGTTAAGTTGGGTCAGTTGTGCCACCCTAAGTGATAGTTTGAGGAGGAGCGCAGCCCGGTATGGAGCTCGTTCTGCCTGTTGGAGTTGTGCTGTCTCCGCAGCACCGGTGTAACGGGGTGTACTTTTCCGTTCTCACAGCTCTGCCCAGCTAGCAGCGGTTAAGCTTAAAGAAGAAGATTTCCCAAGCTTGTCATCCTCTGCAGCACCCACCATCTCTTCTGGGATGTCTTTGACATACACAGCGACTGCAAAGAAAACAGCTTTTCAAGAGGAGGATTTTCCAGCTCTAGTGTCCAAAATGAGGCCTAACAATAAAACAGTAACTAATATCACATCTGCATGGAACAATGGTTCCAGTAAAAATGTGGTCAAAGCCATTAGCAACCCCTGCGTAAACCAGATAGCCAAAAAACCATCCTCCTTGAATAGCGTTAAAGGAAGTAAGAAGAGCAATAAACTCTCTCAGTCAGACGATGAAGACAGCGGTAGTGGCTTGACAACCCAGGAGATCAGAAACACACCAACAATGTTTGATGTATCGTCCTTGCTGGCAGCTTCTACCTCACAAACTTTTACGAAAGTGAGCAAGAAAAAGAAGATGGGGGTTGAGAAGCAGAGACCGTCGTCCCCACACCTCTTACAGGAGACATCGTTTCCCAGGCCATCGACTGAAAAGCTGCCAGAAGCAGAGCAGACATCAAATGCATCCTCTGCTCTTCACGCCCCTGACAGGTCTGCAACTGTCATGAATGGTCATTCGGAAAAATCGTTAGCGATCTGTAGTACACCCAAAGAGCCCCCTGGCCTTAAAAAGCCCACAGTGACTAACAAATGCCCTTTACCTCAGGAAGACTTCCCAGCTCTTGGGAGCTCAGGATCGGCTAGAATGCCCCCGCCACCAGGTAAGGACTGCAGGGCACGGCCAGCTTTGCTTGGCTGTAGCTTAGAGAAATGCGGCACGTGGATGAGATGTATAAACTGCTCCTTCTGGCTTCCGTGTGAAGAGCAATTCTGTCAGTATGCGCCTTTGAAGTTAAAAAAGGCAGTCTGGGCAACACAGATGGGGTTGAATGTCCGCTGTGAAACACAGTTGAAGCGGTGGCAATGCTGGGATACCTCTGCTCTGTGCAGCTGCAGGTGTCTGCTCTGATGAGCAGCTGGTCTTTACCTGTCACTGCTTTTCTGATGAGTCATGTCTGACACAGATCTGTGCTTTTGTGCTTTAAGATCTAGTTTGGAAGCCCCTGCGGGCAAAGGGAATCTCTCTTTAGCTGTGACCTGTGCCTGCTGGTACTTGTCAGTTGGCTTGCTTGGTCACTTTTGTTCTGTGTTTGCAGAGATTTAATGCCTCTGCTTTTAGTGGTGCGGTAAAACTGGAGTAACATAGCAACAAATGTGACTTACAGTGGTTTTAATGAAAGTAGAATCGCATCAAGAGATGCTTGCGTAGCTGTTTTGTTCTATGCTGCTCTGCAGGTATTGTTTGGTGGAGTATGCTAGAACATGTGATGCCTAGTGCTGTTTTGACTTCTGGAGTGATTTCTGTTCACTTTAAAAATGTAAAGGTGTTTTTCATTGTGAGTTTGTGTGGTTTTTCTAAAAATTATTTTCTATTGAAAAAATAAATTAATAGTTAAAGCGCTTTCCTTGTGGAGTAACACCAGCCACTACGAAGTGCTTCTTGACCTGATTGTTAAGGCAACAGATTTCCACCTCTCTAATTTTCAGGTTTTTTCCAATATAGTGATGTCTGCACTGCTGACTCTTACTTCTTAGTGCTTCTGGAGAGTACGTCAGACCACTGGTGTTAATTTTAGACGGTGGTATGTGGGTGCCACAGATATGTGCTCTAACTTCCTGCCCGTTCTCTGCTTTCATTTAGGCTTTAACACTGTGGTGCTATTAAAGAGTCCTCCTCCGCCTCCTGGACTGTCGGTGCCTGTTAGTAAACCCCCTCCAGGTTTTGCTGTTATTCCATCCACCAATCTCTCTGAACCTGTCACTACATCTTTGAAAGAGTAAGTAAAAGTCCTTTGAGCTAGAGTTACTTTATGCATTACATCTCAGTTATGTCACATGGGCTTCAAACAACAGATGAAATACTCTGAGGGAATTATTCTGAATGGGTGCTGCCGCAGAGGCCAGCCACTTCATGATTCCCATTGGGGAGTCCCGTGGCCGTTGCAGGCTGGATTCAGGAGAGTTGTGTAAAAGGAAGCACAAGCGTTGTGTGGATGCAGGTCTGAGGAAATGAAAACCTGTGCAGTGTGGCAGCTCAGACTTCTGTTTTTTCTAGATTTATTTGGAAATCTGCAGCTTCAACGTATTTAACCTTTCCATTGATCTGTCTGAGTCCCAGAAGCAAGGTGCTGACGCATGTTTTCCTTGGTGACCTCTAAATGCCTTCATTGCTCTGACCTTTCCAGTAGCTGGTCTGTGGTCAGGGCCCTTCTGGGCTAGAGAGATGAGTTTATGGGAAAAGGGGAGGGGAAAGCTTGTGTAAGTTTAATACAGATGTCTGTATTAATCTCTTCAGTTTTATTCGTGGTGCAGTCTTTGTTGCTCGCATCTTTTTAGTAAACCTGGCTTAAAAAACAGCTAGTCAAGACTATGTTAAACTTGCATTTTAAATATTCTGTCTAGGTAAAGCTGGATACAGTAATCCCACAGGATGCATTTCATCGTCCCATCAAGATAGCTATGTGCTGCTTATAATAATTGCCTGTGTGGTTGGGTGGAGAAAGGAGTGCATCCTATAGAAGAGCATAGCTATATAATATATATCCCGCAGCATCTTTGTGTAACATGAAGCAATGTCAGAGTCACTTTTGGTCTTTTCAAATGCAGGCCAAAATCCTGTCACGGATCGTACTTGATACCTGAAAACTTTCAGCAAAGGAACATACAGCTAATACAATCTATTAAAGAATTCCTTCAAAGTGATGAGTCCAAGTTCAATAAATTTAAAACTCATTCTGGGCAATTCAGACAGGTGAGTGGGCAAGAACCTTTGGATTCCCGAAACCACTTTCTCTGGGAGAAAGTGAATCCCAGCGAGATTTTTTTTATATATGTATTTTTTTTCTAATTATTCCAATTCTCTTTTCACTGAAGGGCCTGATTTCTGCAGCACAGTATTACAAAAGTTGCCGAGAACTGCTTGGAGACAACTTCAAGAAAATTTTTAACGAGTTGTTGGTGTTGTTGCCGGACACAGTTAAGCAACAAGAACTGCTTTCTGCTCACAACGATTTCAGAATCAAAGAAAAACAAAGCTCAAACAAACCCAAAAAGAACAAAAAGAATGTTTGGCAGACGGACTCCAACTCTGATCTCGACTGCTATATCTGCCCAACGTGTAAGCAAGTACTAACTCAGCAGGACGTTGTCACCCATAAAGCTTTGCATATTGAGGATGAGGAGTTCCCTTCCTTACAAGCAATCAGCAGAATCATCAGTTAGCTTTCCCGAAGACCAATAAAACAGTCTCTGTCTATGAATATGCACTTTTTGGAATGAGGTTTGGCAGTGTAGTGTGGCTGAGAGCCGGTGCCAGTTGAGTAGTCAGGTAACTGTTAGAGAGCCCTCTCAGTGCTGTTCATAAATACTGTGCAAAGGGATCACCGGACTGCGCCGTAGCTAATTAACGTCCAAAGTCTGAGCTTCCGAAATGCCTGAGTAGAATTAGGCTGAAATCGCAGGGTGGGCTGGCAGGGGGGCACCTTTCTCCTGTAACAGGCAATAGCTGAGAAAATACTTTCTGATCTGAAGACTGACAGGGGACACAATAGGGGAATAAGCATCTGGTTTAGGTTTTTCTTTCTTTTTTTCGGGGGGTGGGGAAAGATTATGAATCACTGAAATGAACAGAAGCAAAAGTGGCTTCCCTTATAATATTCTGATTTTTTTTGTGCTATTTCTGTGACCATGAAGATCACAGTAGTCAGGGGTACAAAGGTGCAGAGAAGGAAAAGATGCTACTCACTGGTGAGTAAGACCGTTACAGCTGCGTGTCTGTAAACATTGAGCTGCTCATAGAGCAAAGAAAATTCCTGTCTGAAAACGGAATTAATTCTACTACTTGAAGAATTGGACTGATCTGTGTGATTAGTTGAACGTGAGATTTGAAGTTGCCTCTGACCTTTTATGTAACATGTTCTTGAAAGAAACTTTCTTTGTAGCACTGCATGTGGAATAATAACATTAAGGCTTTACTTTCTGTAAAGCACACTTCACAGTAATTTTATTTAATGACTGCCATGTTTCTAATTTCTTGGATGTATTAATGGTGGTAGGTCCGAACAACAGCATATTGGGACATTAAATGCTGCTGATCACTGACCATGTTTATCTGCAGTGCCTTTAAGTGCATTTATCTGTTTACAGTGGTCTGCACTAACAAGGATAATTTGTTCAGATTGTACGGACCGCTTACATCCTGTACCTCCCTCGGTGATATCGGTCTGAAGTAGTTTTGCTTATGTTGCTTGGCATCTCTAAATTCCACCTCTTGGAGACAAGAAGGAGCTGCTGATCACTGACCATGTTTATCTGCAGTGCCTTTAAGTGCATTTATCTGTTTACAGTGGTCTGCACTAACAAGGATAATTTGTTCAGATTGTACGGACCGCTTACATCCTGTACCTCCCTCGGTGATATCGGTCTGAAGTAGTTTTGCTTATGTTGCTTGGCATCTCTAAATTCCACCTCTTGGAGACAAGAGGGGAATCTTCATCGTTTGAAGCAACTCCGCCAGCAGCAGCTATGACGTGATGGAGTGACAAGAGTCCTCCCTGCAGTGCACTTTCATGGCTGTAATTCCGTGTCTGATTCTCTCCCCTCCTGGCAGACCAGGTTTAGTTATTTTTAACATGTAGGAATAAAGTTGAAATTAATTTATGTAATTTTTAGTGACAAAACACTGCTTTTATATAAGCATCATTTCTATGAAATTGAGCTCAGAGTATTACTGAAGAGCTAGTCCTGGCTACAGAAAGTTTTCCTTGCCTTACGCTTTTTATTTTTGCTTGCTGTCAGGCTGCAAAGTGCTTTTGGTTTCTTTTCCGAATAATTAAGTCTCTTTTGAATACCGGAACGTGTTGTATTCAGCACAGGGGCTGGGCTGCACGAGCTGAAACGGGGATGGGGAGGATTATGCGGCTGCATGGCTGTTCATAAAGTGCATGAATACGTGACAAGTAGCAACACTTCCGTGTTCCTGCCTGGAGCGGAGCGCGGTGCCCCTGCCCTGACCGCGACACAACTCGCTGCCGCGGCGCTTGGGTCGGGTGCCGGCTGCCCAGCACTTCTACTCAGCAATTGATCTACGGTGTCAGCTCTTCGCCCCGGCTCTTCCTTTGGTTTGTGAGGTTCAGAGGAAATGAAATGCAAATTCTCTGCAGGAGTATCTTACGTCTTCCCTTGATTTTTCAGTTAATTTCTTCTGTGTTAGCAGATACGTAGTTCCCACCGGGCGGGTGCTGCTGTAAGTTTCCTCAAGGGGATCAAGCTCTTTGGCCTGATGATGCAGTTTCCTTGTTCCTTGTGCTCACCTGATTAAATAAAGTATTACCAACTTTTTTTCAGGCCGCTTCTATTCATTTTTAACTCTTTATTGAAAATAAGTTGCAGTTGGTACACAGACACTGAAAATACATAGTCACAGATTGTTCTCTTTTTTATATATATAATATATACAAAAGTTGTAAACATTTTAAACTTATTTCCATACACAGTCCACTTTATACTACAATGCACGTAAGGTTAGTGACAACTGCAACTCTTGGAAGCGGTCTGCTTATACAGAGGTATCTGCCAAAAAACTTAAATTTGCAAACCACATTTGGTTTCAGTTTGATATTAAAACTCTTAAAGAATCTGAGGTTTAAATGCATATTGCAACCAAATACAGGCAGCTGAACTTGGGTTTCAAGTTGATACAGTGAAGGCCGTTTCTGAGCCTCACTGGTGGTGGGAGAGGGTCTTCTGACACACACAGCTTCAAAATGCTACCTAGAAAAGTACTCGGAATAAACGGGAGTGGAACTAGACCCATCCGCTCTCCCCAGCACACTTTGGGAACACAAAGGCTGAAGGAAGTCTGCAAATATATACAGTAGCTTTTATCGAGAGAAATACGGATGTGAGTTACTAATGAACAGACAATGACCACAGTTAGCTTAGTTAAGTGAGCTCATAGCAGCAGCAGGCAGGACTAAGAAGGAGCCAGCCGTACGCCCTTTGGGGGGTTGGTTGCGGAGAGAGAAGGGCACGAACTACCCTGTAAGGGATTGCTGGTCGGCAGAAGTAGCAAAGAAATGCCATAGTTGTCACATGCTGTTGTAGCATGAACTAATGGGACACTCGCCCTACAAAGCGTCCAGGCAAAACAGCCAGAGAAGCCCCAACTGCTTGTAGACATGACAAAGGGAGGGGTCTGCTCAAACTGCGAACTGTCTGCTCAAAAGAAGCATGTAATGGGGGCAGATCTTTTTTTACTAAGCATCAGTTAAGCAAAACTTCCACCTTGCTAGGAATAGTTTAAAATGTTGAGAAAAAATTCCAATCCTTTCAAATCTTTTAATATGCTTAAAATAAATATGCAAAACCCATGATGTGGTTAACTTCAGTGCTGAGAAGTATCTATGTTGTTGCAACAGAACCTCCTGGAGCAAGGTGATTTGGTAGAATACATCCCCAGGAAAGGTACAGGATGGTTTCAATTCTATTCTTTACACCCAAATTCAGTGCTAACACTACGCAGAAGCTTTCAGCACGCTGGCCTGAGAGCAGCATGATCCTGCCCTCTGCAAGCTCGAGTTAGCTGCTGGGCTTCTGAGATCTCTGGAGGAGGGGATATATTAAACAGCTTGCGAGGACAGCACGGGGGCAGCAGCTGGCATGGCACAAATTCACAGCACAATCCTGGCATGCTTTTAGGACGCGGTCTGGACGGTTATAAGGAAAGCCGCTAGTGCTACTGTACACAGCGAATGCGCTGGGAGAAAAAAAAGTGGGAGAAAGAAGTACGAAGATTGATGTTACAAATACTTGAACCCCAAATAATATACTACAGTTATTACACCGATGGATCTAATTCTCTAACTGTAAGCCCGTAAGGTTATATTTAGTTACAGTCCATACCCGTACACACTAGTCTGCCTGACGAGTCACGGACACGCCGATGTGCTACGACAGTTAATCACGGCACTGCTGACACTGAACAGCTAGTGGGGACGCTGCGGGGCCTTGCGAAGGAAGAGGGTTTCATACGAGGGGTAGGCATGCGGCATCGCTGGCCAGGCTGGGGGCCGGCGGCCCACCCTGCCTTGAAGCACGTTTTAATTCAGCAAGGCTGCGATGGCTGCCAGCCCGTGCTGCCGCGGGGCCAGGGAGCTACCCGTTTATTGGCCTCACCAATAAACCAGAAAATGGTTTTTGTTCGAGGTGGGCAAACGCTCTTTCCAAGGCATGTGTGTCTCAGGCGTTGCGGTACCACGTTAATTACGGCTTGTCCCGTCCTGCCTGGCTGACCGCCTCGGCGGGGCGACTACGGACATAAACTCATCGCTGTTGCCTGGAAAAAATACACCGATCGTGGGCTGCCTGCCCGTATGTGCTGCCTGCCTCTGCAGACCCGATCCTTCCCAGTGCCACCCCGGCGGGGACGTCCTCCCCGCCACCGAGGGGAATATGGCAGATTTTCAGTGGCAGAGGGAGCGGGGTTAAGCTTCCTTGAGGTGCCTGTTGGTGTGGCTGGACACGTTATTCCTGGCTCTGGTTTAATCAAGGAGCAATCTGTTCTGCCTTGCCGCTGCCAGGAGGCCTCTCGGGCACCCAAGCTCCTTCCTCCTCCTCCTCTCCTGCCCAGCAAAACGCAGCCAGGTCCTTGCACGCTCACCGTGCCGACTGCAAGTTAAAGGTAATACTGACTTTTGAGCTGTAAAAATGCCGCTGACCTTGAGAAGAACAACGGTGCCTCGGCCGGGGGCTGAAGTCGTGCTGAAGTCATCCCCGTTTCACCGTTGCTGCTCTTAAGGTCAGGGCCGGCATGAGAGCGTGCGTGTGCGTGTGTGTCCCTTCTGCGTCCCACCGCCCGCGGGCGGGAGGGCGGGGGGGAAAGAAAGGCAATGCAGGCCTCGGTGCGTACATTCAGATGTTGTAATATTCAGCACGGTTACACCAGGGGTCAGGACACGTCCCGCAGTCAGACAGAGCTTTAGTTCTTTACGGTTACAAGGAAACTCTGGAACAGTTATATAGTTAGAAAAAATACAATGTACTGAACAAACATTATCTCACATACAATCAATTTAAACATTTAAATTGATTATAATTTTGCTAAAATATTAACACAAGTACTGTTTGTGCTGCTAAAATTTCAGTGTTCCCTCTAAGGAAAATATTGCTACAGTTCTACCGTACCCTGTATTAAAATCTTTTGCCTTTTTCTTCCCCAGCAAGACTGACTCTAGAAAAATCACAAGGGTCACGTAATTAA